TTTTTTGCTTGCCAGGTGCTGTGGGGTCCTAATCCCTGAGCTTCCCAGGAGGAATCCCAACCATCTGTTTCAGATGACCTATGCTGTGCACATTTGCTTTTTTTTTTAATAGAAAACTTTGACTTTTTTTTCCTTTCCTACCTATTTTCTTGTTCACATGTTTTGACTTTTCTTGCAGTTTAACCCCTACCGTGTGAGAGCTGGCAGATGACCTATGCTGTGCACATTTGCTTTTTTTTTTAATAGAAAACTTTGACTTTTTTTTCCTTTCCTACCTATTTTCTTGTTCACATGTTTTGACTTTTCTTGCAGTTTAACCCCTACCGTGTGAGAGCTGGGAACTCCGCCAGTGCTGTGTGCCTGGGATCCCGTACGCACAGAGCAACACCAGTGAAGCTGTTGGGGTGGCTGTGCTGCGGGAGCCCGCCTGCTCTCTTTCTCCTTCTGAGATACTGTGCTTAAGCAAGTGTCACTGAACTGAATTTCAGGAATTTACTGTGCTCTACAGTGGCTGAATACTTCTGCTTAACATCCCAATTCCTGCGAGGCTGGAGACCCCCTCCCAGAGCAGTGACTGTGCTAGCTATGAATGCTCTGCTTCTGCCGATTCTTTGTCACATGTTTCCATTTTCCATTGTCCTCATTTTCCCCTCTTTCCATGCATTCACTCAGTTGCAAAAGCAACTTCCAGATGGCAAAAATCACGTATAAATATGTACCTCTTTACCACTTAACACACAGCTGTTGGCAACATCAAGTTAAATGTGATGCGAGATATCCTGTAACAAAGGGATAGTAACAACAGCAGTCACTGGAGAATTAAATTTACCCGTGACTAAACCAGTGCAACCACTTCTAGTCTTCCGTGGAACTATACTGGGGTCAGTTACTTTAGAAGGGCTACACAGGTCTGTTTACAGTAGAATATGGAAACGCGTAAATACACATGCTGGCTGTGTGGAGACAGTGGTGAAAGTAAGTTAAGAGGCAACAGAGCTGGGAAAGAGATGTATTTTAGTATTTTCATGTGTACAGAGCAGAATTGGCTCTTTGATCCCCCCCTCCTTGCTTAGAAGTTTTAAGAAAAAAAAGTTAATACCAGGGTTGCTCGGTTGTTACTCTCTTGTACTCACTGATTTTACATGGGTCTGTCCCTCAGGAAGCCGTGCTGAGCACTGGGTCAGCCAAGCGCTGGGCCTTAGCTTTACAGCTGCCTATTGCAGTCATGTGCTCTCTGTTCCCTGGGAGCAGGCTAAGACGCCTCATGTCTAGGAAAAGCTTATAGTGTGGTGGCAGACTTAATTCTGCCAGCTGGAGAACCCTAAAAAAATCCCTCCTTAAGACAAGACTGCTCCTTACTCTGGTGGAATGGAGAGACAGGTATTTGATTTTAAATACTCCGTCAATTTTGCAGCTGACAAGACTTGGGGAAGGGAAGCTATAGTGTCAGGCAGAGTTTCTGAGTACGACTATTTTAGTTGGAAGCAGTGGGAATTACACACAAGAACACACCACAGTGAGGCTGAGGGGGAATGTCTGCAGAAAGGTTCTGCTCTAACATGGCTGGGTAATCCCAAGCACAAAATGGCTCACGAAGGTTGTGAGTAACAACTACATTACATGTCTTAACATTGAAGCGAGTGCTTACTGGGAGCTGAGGCTTGTTAGCAAATTTTGAGCACAATCTTTGTACATGGAGATGGATGTACTGCTCTAAACCCAAATATTTGTTCCTTTAAGATGGCAGTCATACAGCATTTGCTTGCAGCTTTGTTTACAGAGACAGCCCACGCTTAGCCATGATAACTTTTAATGCAATCCAATTGCTGTAAACTCATCTCTGGAGAACCTTCAGATGTTTCACACTTGGCAAATTGTGTGCAGGCAGCCTCCGAGTTTCCACCTTTCTGTACTTAATCCAGTTCTTTGTCATTTTAGTTGCCTGTAAATTTCGGCAACCTTTATGGAATGAAATTTGCTCTCCTTCCACAGAGGAAATACTTCTTAAAGAACTGAGTGAGCGAACATAGCTGCTTCTTGAAACCTCAGCTGGAAATCCAATTTCCCCGTGATACCCTGCTCTGTTTGTTTGGGTTTTTTTGTTTGGCCACACGCAGGTGGGAAGTTGCAGTATCAAACCACAGTGGCTACACCATCCTCAGAACAGTCTGACCTTTAGCAGAGGGCTGGCTCAGAAAGATTAGACTTGCCAGTGTCCAGCACTGATGTGTTGGAGTGTGTTCTCCTCGTCTTTCAAAGCAACCATGAACAGTTGTGCCTGGAGGGCCGAGCATGTGAGGGCTGCTGAGGGAAGGACCCTTCCTAGCAAGGTAAGTGTGAGGATCCCTCCTAAAGCAGGATGATTGCCTACGTGCTCTACTAAGTACGCATTTGTGGGTGCAAATATTACCTGCAGCTTTATTTGTTTCCTACCATTCATGTAGGAATTTAAAATATGTGAAGGAGGCTCCTTGAAAAATTCCACTGAATTTTACTTGACTAAACTGACTGATTTTTAAAAAAAGCCACACATCAATTATGGGGAACTTGCAGCTGCAGGTGAAAATAAAGTTCCTGTTGTCTGTGCATTTGCAAAGAGCCTGACACTGTACGATTGTAAATGCCTTTCATTTCTTTCCTGTCCGTCGAAGTTTGAGCTAGCTGCATCCTGCAGAAGCCAGAGTCCAATTTCTGCAGTTAGTTAATATCCAAAACTGAGTTTACAGCCTCTTTCTTGACACTATAAATAAACACTATAAAGTGTCATAGTAAATTGAACCCTGCTGTGTACATTCATTGTGAACAGAGAACCAGTGTCAGAGTGCATTTGCACATGTTCTATGTTCAGGCTAAAAGAGAGAACTTTAAATACATAAATCTCTTAGGAAAGCAGCCCCTCCTGAATACTCACCAGATCCTATAAGGGCACAGATCAGCACCATGGAGTTGTATTTTATTTCTGGAGCGCTTCTGTCATCTGAGAGCAGTCTGTGTAGAATCTGAACAAGCTGAGCATTTTCAAGATCCTTTTCAGCAGTGACTGAAATACAAGTGAAAATTTGTAAATCTGGAAGTGCCACTTGCTTTGATGCTTCTGTGCGTTAGCCATTTATTGAAACATGGATCTCTCATCGTAGTGAAAGTGGTGCCGTGATACGTAACTCATTGGCGTAACACTGAAGCACCTATGAGATGGTATGATACAGGAATCACAGCTCGTGCTATAAAGACGTACAAGAGCCTAACTGCTTGAAAGGACAATCACAGAGCTTAATGATAAAATCCAGTCTTAAATATGCAGTGAGCTGATGGAAAAGCCACCAGGGTTTCTAGCGATTTAGGCCAACACCTGCAATATTTCAGCTTTTAAGACTTCCAGTGCCTGAATTTGCTTTGGAAATTTTGTCTGAGTAAACACAGATGATGTAATTCTTGATTCCATGGCAGAGGGAACTTGGGATCCATTGTAAAGGCTGTGAAAAACTTTTCAAGATCAGTTATTTCCTCTGTAGTTTTCTAAGAAACATTATATACTGAATTCAGGCTCGAAACCTTTAAATGTCTGAAGATAAGACAAAGAAGTGCTGGATGATGCATTGCGCCCAGGAACATTTTTCTTTTTAATTAGAACAATTCCCTGATGCATCAGCAGTGATTTGGAAGTTGAACATAGCGTTGTAGCACACAATGGCAAAAGATGAAATCAAGAGCAAAAATACGCAATATTGCTTGTCTAGTTCGTTACCTTAGTTAATAAGCAAGCAAATAGGATAAACAAAACCTCTGTTCGGCATTTACCTTTTTGTTTGGTAAGCTGAGGTACTACAAAGGCACAGGTCAAGACATGTAATCGTTTCTGCCTCCACATGGCAACTCTTGTACCTATTTCTGTGGAACTTAATACAGACATTTTGGGGGCATCATCCACCTTGCATGTGTATTCCCTGGCTCGCGCTAATTAGGTAAGGGAAAGCTTTACTTTGATAAGCCCTCTCAAAAGGGCTTTAACCGTTCCAGTGTAGGAGTGTAGTCAGGTTGTACAGTCTCTACATGAAAGTACGAGTTTCTTAACTGTTAGCCTTTTGGGTCTTGCCCACAATCTGAAAGTTACGTTCGAGGGCCTTTCTAGATCATGTCATCACCTACCAGAATGATGGAGCAGACACTGTATTACCAGCAAATCCCAGTTTTCTGCATAACCCCATTGCCTGCCTGCGTCTGCATGAGCTGTGATGTATTTCTGTGCACGAGCTGTGATGTATTTCCGTGCTACTGAAGGGCAGGTGGGGAGGAGGTGGCTTTTCTACATTGCAAAAGGAACTTGCACAACTCTCCCTCTGCGACTTCGCTTGGGCACAGACTGGAAAGAAACCTGGTAGAATTAACCACTGAGATACTCACCTAACTCTAAAGCCGCGATTAATGCCAGCGCAACGAGAGCTTCGTTTTGCATTATTACGTGTTCACTGGTTGCCATGGTTACTAAATGCTTGATGCCACCGCTCTGTACAATGGTCCTAATTACATCCTAAAATAAATAACATAGAAATGAAAAAAATTCTGCATTGCATGCAAACTGTATCAAATAACACAACTATCATGGATGCTACTCTACCTTTGGGTAAGGATACTCGTTGGCTTTATGCACATATAATCATTTTATACATAAATGTACGTACACGTGGGCCTCTAAACTATCTGCTATTGCTCTGCAATTATAAGATACAACCTGTTAAACCAAGCCAGTTAACCACTTGATTAAGTTAAGACACAGGTCACTAACTCTTTTCCAGGTTATACTGGGTAACTCAAGCTCTCATGGTGTGCCATCAGTCACCTAACAATCAGTCCTCTCTGTTACGTTTGAACTCAGCTGGTGTTCAAAGACGAGGTGTCTTCCCTTCTTGTGGTGTTCAGAGCAGCTTATGAAAAGCACCCAGCAAACCATGCACTTGGGATAGTCAGACACAAGAATATAGTTTTAATAAAGGTTTCAAATCCCTCATCTCCCTCCATGAATTTTCAGAGTTTCTTCAAAATGTTCAGAGAAGTGAGATCACAAGTATTACACCTTACTATGTAATAGAAATGGTGTACTTGAAATGCAAATGCTGACTGGGTTAAATGGCTTTAAAGGAGTTTAAAAATGCGCAGCTGGGATTCTGTTTTCAAGTCCAAAATTTGATCCAACTTACATATGTAACAAAGGGTGAATAAAGACTTCTAGTGTCAGCAGGTCATTGATTACGTGTTAGTTATCATTAAAAAAGTGAGTTTGCACCTAAAGTTTTCACCATTGTATGTCCCCAAAATAGTTGCAAAAGGTCTGTCCGAAAACCAGGTAACTTGGCTGAAAGGAAACTGTTTGAGGAAATGTGGTTTGGTTTTTATTATTTTTTATTTGTTCTGTGGGTGCACAAAGTTTTGAAATAATAGTTATTTCTTGAAATAAGAATCTGATTTATATTTTTAATCAATGCATTAAGTTGCTATTTAAAGCACACATCCCTTTCTAACTCCAGCCACAAGCCAAAACTCATGAACTGATACATGTGTTTAGAATGATGTGTGTTCCAGCAGTGACATTCTTTATGCAAGGAAAGACCCAATGCGATCACAAGCCTTGAAAACTGAAACATTTTTAGGTAATCATACCAAAGCTGCTAGCGGCACAAGTCATAGCCTAATGACACAAGAATTTCACATTTAAAATCTGTTTTTTCTGAATGACATAATATGTGCAGACACGTAAGTATTTTTTTATTTTTCTATACTTGCAATGATGTGTTTTATTATTTGCCATTTTTCTGGTGGAACTCCAAAGTAGTTTTGAGACTTCATGGAATAATCTGGGAACTGCTGATTTCTTTTTGAACTGGTGTGGAATTTTGGCTATATAAGCCTTGGGAATCAATCAGCACCTTGGACATTAACATTTTTTATTTTGTAGGTGAACATCACTCTCTAAAAGGCAGTACCAAACAGATGGAAGAGATGACAGCAGCCAGGTTTGGTGCTCGTGTGGATTAACTCACAAGTACCTGCTCCATTTTCTAGAATCAGACATAAGTTTGCTAAACTACTGGCACCTTTGTAAATATTACCCCAAATCCTTTAAAATTAAAAATCGGATTCCAGTCTAACATGCTGTGGAGACCATATGGCTGTACTTGTATTCAAACCTAGAGGGCAGCAAAAGCATTAAAAAAAGCCACCCTCAGCTCTGGTTTTTCTCTTCCAGTCAAGTTCCTTGTGAGTATATAAACTACGCAAAAGTTCATCTGTGATAATTCTGTTAGCTTTTGTATTAATATCTATTTGATGCCATCAAATACATCTCTGTATTTAGGATTGAATTCTGTTTTCCTGTAGAGAGTATTGACAAAAACTCACATCTGTGGTGGCGTATGTCATCTACACGTGCGTCCTGGGGACTGTGTGGGGAGGGTGCAGAAAAAATGAGAACTCAGAAAAAATGAAACCTGATCAGTTTTAAAAGCTAAAAATAAAATGGAGAATGGGCATTAGAAAGAGACAGCAGTATTAGAAATCAGCAAAGATTTAAATCTCTGTAAGTCCTGTTGGTTTGGTTTTGGAGGGGTTTGGTATAGAGCAGGTCTACAACATGTTTTTCACTTTGCTAATGCCATGCACGAATGAAGAGGTCACTGTTAAAGTCCACGTTGCCCAAATCATACTTGCTATTTAAGCTCAGTCACGCAGCCTGTGTTCATAGCAGTGAACACAGAAAATGAAGTCTGAGCCTGAAATAGCTTGTTGCCAGAGGAGATGCTTGTGTCCATTCTAAGGCTATATTTTGCCTAATACTCTCCTGAGCAAGGACTGTGGACTTGGACTGCTTATGTTGTAAAGGTATTTGGTTGATGCAAAGGTGACATTCTCATCATTTGGTTGATGAGAGGGACAGAACATGTCCCCCACAGCTTCTCTTAATGTCATACCTTTTGCCATGCACAAGCAAGCTTCTGTTAGAATTTGGAATAAGTGATTGGTTTGCTTTATTTCAGTTTCTTTTTAACCATGTAGTTCCAGTGAGCATTTAAACCTGTCACTCATGTCTGACTGGCAGGTCCCAGCGGCAGAGGAGCTGTAACACACGAATTAACCAGCCTGGCTCTCTAGAAGGTTTACGTACTGGAGGCCTCAGCTACCAATACCAAATGCAGAGGTAACTCTTAGTTCTTACAAGCTGACCTTTTTCATCACTAACTTACTTTTGATTTGCTGTGTCGTATAAGTGCAGAAAGTAGTCTGTTGGACTCTCCCATCACACCTGCGTGATCCTTGGCTTCACACCACTCCACCAATCGTTCCACCAGTTTTACATTTTTGCCCAGCTGTTCAGCTGCTTCTGCTACATGATGCCGAGCCAACAACACAACAAAAAAGTTGTCACTTTTTTTAAAGCAATTGCTAGAAAAATAAGCTGAAAGTTACTAACTAAGAGGAGTTTAGGTAGAACTTCATTAGCTTGCACTAGCAGTGGGAAAAGTCAAGGTTGTGTGGAAGCAACTAAAGCCAGTCAAAATGGAAATAAAATACAGAAAAACATTCATAATCCAGTTTTTGAAAACAGCTTATCAAGCCCAGTTAAGGAGGCTTGTGCATTGATTAACAGTAGGGAAAATACAGGTGATGTCATACTCCCAGGTGAGCTAGCTCAAAAATTTAAAACCAAAAGGAACCGCTGCAAGAGGGGAGCACTGTGGTCAGTTAGATTAGGTTTTATAGACTGTAAGTCACATAAGTTTCTTCAATGAATTTCTATGTCATATCTAATAGCTTTGCTAGAACTAGAATGGATCTTTTGAAAAAATCTGCAGGGCTGGGTCAAAAATAAATACTTGGCTAATTTCTCTCATTAACAACTTTTGGTTTCAAGCAGACTCCTGATTTTACAAATCCTCATCCTGGAACAAGCTGTTGAACTAAAAGGTGCTCGTTCATTCTGAAACTGTAGTTTATCAATTAACGAATGCACTAGCCTGTTCCAAGGAGCTCGGTGCAGCCAGGAAATGCAGTAAGTGAGCAGCAATGCCAGAGTGGTAGCTTAAAACACTCACGCCTCAATACATGCTCGTAATGTGACAGTGTAGGAGAGTTCTGAAGTACAAAAGTAAATAAGCATTTGACACCTATTCTGAGGGTCCCTGGTAGTCAATTTAGGAGTTCTGAAAAAAAAAATCAACCCACATTCCTCTCCCTTTGCATATGTATTAGATTTATTCCAAGACTTCAGGAATAAAATTTTTAAAAACGCTCTGCTTCCCTCTTGTGAGAATCTTGGCAGTATATCACAGACTGAACCAAAGAGAATCACTTAACATAGAGAACAGTTTATTTTTACCTTGTGCATCTATTAACATTCTTAATGTTCCCAGCAGCTTGAACTGAACAGGGGGCATCTCCGATCTGAGAAATTTCAATACAGCTTCCGCAACACCAGCTGACAGCATCTTAGCCTTATTTACAACTGCGTGAATAAAGAACAGGAATGATCTCAAGAACATTTCTGGAAGGTGCAGTTTATTTCTAAGACTGTCTTGAAGCAAATCTTCAGACAGTTTGAAAAATAGCTTGTGAACACAGACTTCAGGAATGAGTGTGTGCTGACAATACTGCATTGTGGAAAAATGTCATGGTTGCTAAGACACAGGTGTGAAATTAAGCA